GACTGCTAACATTGATGTCATTTGTGAGAATATAGTCTGATGAATCGAGTCATAGCTGCATTTTAAAAAACTGGAAATATAAAGGGCATACAAATGTTGACTTTGAAAATGCAATTATACTTTAAATGAAAAGTTCACAAATCACAGTATTTTTGCCACGTGTTTTTTTACCTCCACACAAGGCTTAGAAGAGCACGTGCTGTGCCAATTTCTCTGAGCAGTGACTCACTAGCTTTGAAAGTTTAGGAGATTTCCTAAAGTTAAGCAGGTCAAGATGCAAAGCTTAGTTAAGCCTTGACCTTGCGCCAGGGTTGAGATCGAATTGATTAAGGAAACGGGACAATATGTTTGGTCAAATTTCCGAACCCTTTATAATTGAGAAATGGTTTGTATGTACAGTAAGACAATACAAATTACGTTTTGACTTAACTAAGCATTCCTAATATGAAAATGCATTTAAACATGTTTACGCAACGTTTTTACGCTTGCTTTTTGAGCAGTCTGCGATTTGTTAACCACCGTTTCAAGTTCTGATTACTACAATTTATCAGTGCTGATTTAAAGTGCTGGACACTGTCTGCCGAGATAGGCTTGAGGTCGTTAGTTTGATCCTAAGGATTCTCAAACTGGGTTTCTAAGTCTATCTCGGCCAAGCATGCACACTTTTGGGCCCAGTGATAATGCTTCAAGTGACGTTTTTTAAGTGTCACAGAGGAGTAGTTGCGTATGTATTTCTCTGGACCTTTGGGGAGTCCTGACTGTGGTTCGATTTCGTGAGACCTTTGAAGTAATGAGGAGCCCTTGGCGGCCCCAAGTTTTCTTTTTATTCTTTAAGTGTAGCTGCTGCATTCCTGTTTTTCTCCTCGGTCAAGATGTTTAGAGCGGCAGCGCCTTAGCACACGTAAACCTTCAGTTCACCAACCTTTACGCGAGTGCTTTTTATTTGGTTCTTGACATAGATTCTATGTGTTTATGTGGTGATCACTGTATGGCTCCGTCGCAACACTCTCCAATATTCGGTCGGGTATTCGTTTTTCTCTATACACTCCCCAATAAAGATAGCCAGCATTTTCAGCAGGCACGCATTAAGTGCCTTTCACATTGCTGTATCATTTAGAGTTTCAAATCTTCCCAATAGAGAATTCAGAAGAGTATTTGGAGAGTCTACAAATACTTTCGATAAATTCTCATCAGGCCAATTCATTTAAATAGGCAAGGATATATATTAAACATTCGATCAATAACGTTCGTCTTTTATTACAAGCTAGTCCTTGGAATCGGAGAAGAGGTTGATAAGAAAAGGCTGGACATGAGGCCAGAGTTTGGTGGAGCAGTCTAGGGGATGGAAGGGGGGAGGACGGAGGCAGAGAGATCGTGGATGAAGGGAAGCCACAAGGTGACTGTAGGCCACGCCAGCTGCAGAACTTTTAGGCGGTTCTTTTGTTCACAAGATGCCGGCTTCATCAAGCTGATAGCGGTCGCTTATGCTGCTGCTAGCAGGCGCTGACCCAGAGAGTTTAGGTAGTTTGGCGGGACCTTAACAATTACCTAGAAGGCGTTGTTGGGATCCCCATGATTATCGCTTGTTTAGCTTATAGCTCTGCGCATATTAATTTATTGGCCTGACGACAATGAATTGAAAGTAGAAGTACACTTATTAAATGCTCTTCTGAATTCTCTGACGGGAGTATATATTAGTGTCGTTCAGCATACACGTCTACGAGGGTGCAATGCTCTTGAACTCGAAAGTACCACATGCAACATGTTTACACTTTTTCAATAAAAATAATTTTTACCGTTAAGTTAGTTTCTTCAGCTACTCTCACACCCATTTTTGGGTTTTTGACAGACTTGACATATTGGCCTTCTTTTCATAGTCTTTATAGAACACTGCGTAGTAAGATAGTGGGCAATGTATCGAACCTAGACATCTTTCGACAAAAATTTAAACTGCTGTAATCTTCAACTCTTTACCCATGTTATGCTGGAGTCTAAGGCGTAAATCGACAGAGTTATTCACGTGAGCAATTGGCGAGCATACCGAAGCTTTCGATCAATTTTCAGCGGATCCTGTCGGCACATAGGAATATCCTGCAAGCTCCGCGGCTGGCCTGGTGAATTGCTGCTTAACTGAATGAACCCTTCTGCGTTTACAATTTATTTGCAATTTTGAACATATATTATTAATGCTAGCCTGGTTTCTTCTGGGCGTTAAGGACCTGGATTTTGATTACTTAACATGCCTGAGCCATAGACTACTGCATGTTTTTCTGTGTAACGGACAGCCTCATCGCGTAACAGGCTTTATCACCCACATATTTATCATTGACGAGCGCTTTATTTATGGTGTGGAATGACAGCTTTACAGTTATTTATCTGACAAAAAATTGTTTGAACCAGGATGTTGCTAACGTATTTCTTAAATTTTTTTAGCCGCTAGGCAACTTTACTAATTTGGTAAGTTTATAAGTTACATTTTTGACCTGTCATTCGAAAATAAACATTCAGCATTACGTGATATTGTGCGACACATTAAGTTAGCATTTCATTTTAACTTCAAACATCGTATATTACCGCTTTCCCTACGGCTTTAGCTAGGTAAAAACACATGATTTGTTTGTTGACAAACAACAGCTCTTAGCCTGCCCCGCATTCTGCAAATTGTAAACTAGCTGATTTCTTTAACCCTCCATTTATGTTGTGCAATGATTGGTCGCAGTTGATATGGTGTCACGAAATGTGTTATAAGTAATACAGCCTTAAATTGTTTTGTACTTTTTAGTCAGTATGTAACTCCCCTATTTTCGGTAAGTTTTTACTTCAACACATAACTCTTTGAGCAGCCAGTCGAAGAAGGCATAATACATTATGCGCGAGCGGTCGAATAATCAACAATGTTTTATCATACAATTTGCAGTTAGCAACCTGAACTGCCGGGATACCGTTGTAAATGCAGTAATCTGCTATTATTCTGATCAAGCGGAAAAATCATATTCGTCCCGCACGAAAGCATGCGGGTTGCAACTGTCAGAACTGTTGAGAAAACGCTAGAACAACTCGGAAGATTCCTTAGAGTGAATATGGCCCAAGTTGCTTCTACTTAACAGTTAGCATGCAACAAAATTAGCGGAAACTGCAAACACTTGGTTACACCTGGGAACCTGCAAACGACCAATCCTTAGGTTTATTAATCGGACGACTGAAACACTAAGATCTCTACCCCAATTAAAATAATCTTAACTAGATACTAGACAGATACAATTCGGATGTTATATGAGTAAACTTCGCAGGAGGCCATCATACACGAAATGCCGAATAACAGATTAAACACAAAGGTCTCCTGGTTATTATCTAAAATAAAGACAGTATTTCTGAACTTACTTATCTGAGGGGAATAATGTCAGTAAAAATAACGCAAGTCTACTGTTATGCAATGTAAAAACGAAGCATATGAGAAGTTTGCCAACGTAGTCGGAAATTGAACTATTAATATCATTCGCCATGCATAGAAAGATGGCGAGCTTAAGCATTTATCCTTCAAGAAAAATGCAAGGCCAACTTAATTATTTTTTTAGGAGAAATAGGTTATGTATAATCTACCTAAATACTGACATTCGGTGCGATTAGCGAAAACTTCCCAATTGTTCATCTGACCAGTTAAGCAACATTTAGGATTCCGTTCAATCAATAAATTTCAAACAATCCACATTGAAATTAATTTATGCTAGCAGAGCACCATTACCACTCGTAGCGAATAAAAAAACTAAGATAACGTCCACGACGTACACATTTTAATTTTTTTGAAATATCACTTAAAAACACCGGACGACAACAGCCCCAAAAATATCGAATAATTGAAAAAGCATATAGTTCTAGTTACTGTTAGCTGTTCCAAAGAATACTAGCCAACATCAACCGAAGTAACCGATATGCAAATTAAAGATGAAGCATCTTCGATAAAATAAAGCGATGAACACGTTTGGTAGACCACGCTCTAAAATATATGGCCAGCTTTCCGTAAACCGAGCAAAATACTAATAGCATTGCAGTACTTATATAAAAATACGACACTCCCAATTAATAACAAATGACTGACAATGCGGTACATAATTGTAAAATTGGACTTTAAGTTGGAACAAGTGAGTGAAGTTATCACCCAAGCCGGTTAAATGCACACCAATAATATACGCTGAAATGAACAACCAAGTAGTCAGATTTAGCCGATCTAGAATTTAAAAATAAACTGACATAAATGAACTATCGTAGCTCACCGCTCATAAAATAATCTAAATGTATTTAGTTTAATTTGAAATATTGGCATCCTAAGCGATATATGTAATGAGCGATAAAGTCCTTTGCGAATGAGAGTTTTTTATCATGTGAATTTTCGTAACTGGTTCCCCAGCTCGTCTTCAGACGCGTGAGATATGTACAAAAACAGTTAACTTAAACCCATGACTAACACAGGATTATATAGTCTGTAAGAGTGTGTGTAGATAATCATCATCCGATTTTGGTTATACAGGCAATGGGAATAATTGTCACTTGTATGTGATGATGCGGGCCGGGTGGGGGGGGGAATAGTTGTCATCCGTATTCGATCATGTGGTAGGCGGTGGCTGCTTTTGCTTTCATGTGATCTTCAGTGATTTTTAATTCACATCAAGATCGATATGCCTGTTAATGCATGCCTCATCTGAGACCACTGCCAGGAATTCGCGACCCTTCTTAGATGGGCAGATTCCAACGATTTGGATTTGCTCCAATGCAAACTTGTGTTCTGTGTCCAGTGTGTGCATGGCAACCTGTGAAGAGTCCTACAACACGGGATCTTCCCAAATTCAAATTTTGAAAACAAAAGACAGCACTTAAATATACCGAAAAGGATATAAATGGGATAACATTTTGCTAACCACCCCTATTTCAAGTTTAAAAAAGGTGATTGGCATTTCTAAAGAAAACAAGGGTTACCATTTACAGGCGGAAGAATCAATGTTAGCATGCAGTTCGTGCCATTCGATCAATTGGCGCTAAAGTGGGGATTGCCGTCAGATCAACATACCTGGTCTGGAGAATCCAAATTCACGGACGTCAATTACACGCTGGAATACCGCGCCGGTGAAGGAAACCAGTCCGCACGGATTGTCTGGGCTCCAGTTAGCTGCTATCAACCTGAATTAACCGCAATAATTATTCCCTTCCGAAACCGATTTGCTAATCTATCCGTCTTCCTCCACCATATGCATCCGCTTCTGCGACATCAACGGCGACGCTACACCATTTTCCTTATTGAACAGGTAGGTTGACGTAGTTGAAAGCTGCTATGTAGCACATTAAAACTTAAAACACACTCGCTACGGTGCGCATAAAGTAATAGAACCCTGATGTGAGTACAGTTGTTAAAACAATAATCGTGCAAGTGGATTTGTAAATGCCGTAATATTTATGGCAAACTGCTGGGAACTATACCGGGCGGGAGATTTGAAGTCTTTTCTTTCCAATTCATAATTACCAACCAGCCGTCTGTTCATCGCTGACTAAAACTGAATAAGAGTTACGTGCATTTTATTCGGCAATTCTGCATTCCAGTCAAAACATATACAGATTAATTATAGCACCGGAAACTGTCAGACGGTAGATAAATATGTTGCACATGAATAACAATCGTCATTATCTGCGAGACTGGAAATCATGCCGTATGTTATATTATTTTGATTGAGGATAGATGAAGTAATTGCTTGTGTGAGCCTTTGCTGTTGTTTTATATCATACCATTATTAACAGACCTGTAAGGCAAATATGCTGCTGGCTTTTCAATCACTTCAGTCATAACACAGATTCCTATAACAAAAACGGGTTCAAGATTCATTTAATCAAGTTATAAAAATGTCGTCAGCATCAATGGGAGTCCAACCTGCGTCCGCTTCGTGAAGTCTTGTAGAACGAAGAGCACTCCAGCCAACTAAGTGACGGGGTTCAAACCACCATATTTTACTGATCGAGGTCCATTTAGCAAACATAGAAGGGAGTTTGGAAAGGGAATTTTCATCGAAAACTAAATTATGGGCTACCTTTCCTTTGACTTTACAAGCACGAGGACTCGCCCTGGAATACCATCAGTTTTAAATCACTGACGACATCCGAGTCTGCTGACTATTTAATTAATATAGTGCTTGATAAAAACTAACTTTGTACGTTATTGTTATATGCATTGTTATGCAGACGAAAAAGACTGGTCGGTAGTTCAGGTATGCTAAGTAACACAACACTCTTGCTAATTGTATGAAAACCCGTATATGCAGGCTTGGATAACTTAACTCGGTGAATGAACAAGTCCACGTGCAAGACTAGTTTGGCATATATAGAGTGCATTTGCTAGATATGAGTCAGAAATTAAATGTCTGAAAACAATTTTGGCATAATTGCAGGTAAAACCGGAAGTCTTCAATCGAGCTGCACTTTTCAATATTGGATTCAGGGAGGCTTCTAAAGTAGCCAATTACTTACTTCCTGAGGATGACAGGATGATATACGGCTGCGAGAAGGAACCACTTCACATGACTGCACACATTGACAGGCATAATTACTCGTAAGTATTTATTTGACTTCTAGTTGTCTGCTGCATTAAGTTAGTGGGCTTTTATCTTTCTGATTATTGCCTAGTTGTCTGCTGCTTGTTTTTATTCTGTTGAAACTCAAAGAAAAAGTGGGGTACCACAAATGTTCACAACCAGCCGCTCTTGTTCGCACGAATTGCTTTCGTACATCCACTTTGTATCTGTGCGACCAATCCGCGATAAAGAAATATCGATCGGCTGAACGACATCAAAAAGAGTCGTAGACATCACACACTCCAGATAGGGCGACGGATGTTTATAATCACCAAGAGAAAGCATATATTGTCGCTGGGAAAATTATTGTCTTAGC